ATACCGCTGTGCCACTGGGGGGCGTACAGAAAGGATCAAAAGAGCAGGGAAAATAAAGATAATATGTTGATGCGTATTTAGCATTTCTCAGTTTGTTGCCTTCTCAGTTTGTTGCCTTGGGTTATAAAGAAACGTAGGTACATGACATATAATCTGTAGGTTTAAAAATTGGTATATAAATGCGATTAAAGAGAACACGTAATTTATGTTTTTTCCCGTTCGTTACCTTAGGTCATCACGAACACGTGGAGTTGCTAATATTATAATAGATTTGTTCTCTTAACGGTAAAATAAACCTACTTGTAAATATCTTTCAAGGTCTTTGTGTGTGTGGATCTGTAATCTCGTAAACAGTGACTTACAGGCAAAAATGATCACTTTCCACGTATGTCTACTAACCCTAGTTCTTTAATAAAAGCTGCAGTCTTATCATGTAAGCTTCCCCAGTGGCACAGCGGTATGTCCGCGGACTTACAACGCTAGAATCCGGGTTTCGATACTCGTGGTAGGCAGAGCACAGATAACCCTTTGTGTATATTTGTGCTTAACTTCAAACAAACAAACAAATCACTCATTCAGCTGTGGGCGCGTTATAAAAGTGACTTTCAATCCAATAGCGATTTAAGTGACCGATTCTGTTCACTAAATACAATATTTTAAGTCAAGGGCTCCAAAGTATTGATGGCTACATCTCAACCTTAAGATCTCTGATATGATCGCTTAGCCCTTGTGTCGCATAAAATATAATTTAGCTTGAAAATACCAAATATTGAAACTCCGAAACGTCCGAATATATTGTATATTTTATAACTTTTTGTTTATTTGTTTGAAGTTAAGTACAAAGCTACACAATGGGCTATCTGTGCCCTGCCCACCACGAGTATCGAAACCAGGTTTCTAGCATTGTAAGTCCGCAGACATTCCGCTGTGCCACTGGGGAGCTGTTTGTTTGTAATTAAGCACAAAGCTACACAATGGGCTATCTGTGCTCTGCCCACTACGGGTATCGAAACCCGGCTTCTAGGGTTGTAAGTCCTCAGTCACACCGCTGTGCCACTGGCAGGCATTGCTTTTTGTGATGTCCCTCTTCTCAGTAGAAATTAATAACACGAATGACAGATTTTTATTTATTAGTAGTAGACAAAATTACTTTATTATCTGAAGTGGTTTAGACACGGCCTTAATTTGTTGTATTCTTTTATGACAGGTCTTTGTCATCAAACCTTATCGAAGAAATCAATGCTCAGAGCTTTCAAGGCCTCGTTCAGTTGATCTCATTGTAAGAAAAATATATTATTTATCACAGTTTTTAGGTCATTGTTTCTTGTATAAATCCACCCAGTTTCTCATTATACTGCCTTTCTCTTTATTTTCTTTATATAATGACAAAGATTTAAATAAAAAAGGCTTAGAATAAAAAAAGATCGGAAAAGATGGAGCTAAAAAAAGAAGGCAAACGAAACGTTGAATATTTAATGTTCATAGGTTAAAATTCTACGCTTAGAGGCTGAAGGTAGTAGTAAGAGTTTTTCTTAATCAACAGGAATCTAGGAATGAACGAACTTAGTTTTCTAGACGGCGACAGTTTTGGACATCTTAGGTCACTTCTCAGTTTGTAAGTATTAGCCAAACATCGTTTAACAGATTTAAGGAAATAAAAATAGTTTAGTTTGACCATAAGTTGTGTTGTAAAAAAGTCGTGTGAGCAAAGATTTGGTAAGTTTGTTTAAATCGTTTATTAAACTAAATATTAACATAGAATATTCTGTTGTTTTAAAACAAGTTCAACATAAAATATACATTTCTAAATTAGTATGATTACTGACTTTCGTCAGCGTTAGCTTCAGATTATTTGGTTAGCATCTGTCGTCCAGAGCAATAAAATTAGGGTTAGCATCTGTCGGTCAGATCAGTAAGGTTAGGGTTAGCATCTGTCGGCCAGATCAGTAAAATTAGGGTTAGCATCTGTCGGCCAGATCAGTAAAATTAGGGTTAGCATCTGTCGGTCAGATCAGTAAGGTTAGGGTTAGCATCTGTCGGCCAGATCAGTAAAATTAGGGTTAGCATGTGTTGGCCAAATCAGTAAGGTTAGGATAAGCACTTGTCGTCCAGAGCAGTAAAATTATGGTTAGCATTTATCGGCCATATTTGTAGAATTGACATGTATATAATTGAGAAGCTTCTTTTATAAAAGTAGACGATAATGATAAAAAGAAGAAGAAAAATTAAAAATTTAAATAACAACAAATATGGACTTTTATTTCAAGATATAATTACACCAAACGAATTGTGTGAATTCTCTGACGTTTTAAACTCTACTATTTTTATATCAGTTGCATTCGAATCAATAAAAAAAACAGTCTGAATCTCTCAAGTTACCTAACACACCTTATGGTGATCCTGTTTGCGGAGTTTGAAGTATCATATTCTAAATTTGTTTACTGTTTTTGTGAACTTGTTAATGTTTTTTTTTTTCTTCTTCCAGGGAGCTTTCAGATAACAAGATCCATTCAATTGAAGCAGATACGTTCAAAAGAACCCCACATCTCACGTCTTTGTAAGTGAGCGAGTTATGAACTTGAGCTCTGTAATGACAACTATTCGAACAGCGCGACCTCTCAACCACAGAAAGATAAACCTTGTAAAGTAGAAGTCATTCGGTGACTCGCGATCAGGTCTTCAATAAAATGTTTAAAGAAACAACAAAAACACTTCTCTACGACGTGTTTGTAAATCCAGAAGTGCGCATGCGTGATAACTGTGTAAATTTAATTCCTTTGTCAGAGCTAAAAATTGAACCCCGTGAATTACTAAGCCCCCCTTTCTGTGAACGTAAAGGGTCCTCTTGCAATGTTCAGTTTTGATCGCGACGAATTTTTTAGATTTAATTTAGGTCAAAAATCGATCAAGATTATCCAATAAAAAAGAAATAAAAAAATGCACGTTTTTTGTTTTAAGACTCGCTTACGTTCTTACCAGAATTATAATCTTGCCTATAAGGTTGAACTTATAAGCTACGAAATAATGATAAGAACATAACTTCAACCAAAACTAAAGCATATAATGACTCAACAAATTAAGGAAAACTATTATGAAGATAAAAAAGGGTGGAACTTCATAAAACTAGAAGGAATTTTTATAAAATGTGGGTGGATTTAGATATAACACTGGGTTGAAGGAATTTCGCCAGAAAGTGGAGGGAAGTGTTTGTTTGTTTGTAGTTAAGCACAAAGCTACACAATGGGCTATCTGTGCTCTGCCCACCACGGGTATCGAAACCCGGTTTCTAGGGTTGTAAGTCCTCAGTCATACCGCTGTGCCACTAGGGGGCGCAAGTATGTGAATAAACGAAAAGTTTGTTTAAAATTATAAAACAAGCAGCTATTTACAAGTTGAATTAATCTTGTTAATTTTCGGCCATGTTTATAAATGAGTAAGCCTTGTTCATTAGTAGCTCTTGTTAAGGTCTTAGAATAATTTCAATGGACGACTATATCAGATTTATTCGACGTTCTGAAATTTGCCCATTTTTTTCACTCAAATCAACATCTTTCTTGCAGTAGAACCTACGTGATTTAGTTGTTTGTGATTAAGCATAAAGCTACACAATGGGCTATCTGTGCTCTGCCCACCACGGGTAGCGAAACACGGTTTCTAGCGTTGTAAGTCCGCAGACGTAGCGCTGAGCCACTGGTGGAATTTTATATCTGAAGAAATCTGCAGACGACTTTAAAATACGCCTCTCTTGTAGATGTCGCTACAGTGTTTTTAAAATATAAAGAAGATAGTGCAAGATTATACAGATTGAACGTATAGGACCTTCATACGTTGATAGTTCGATGACGAGGAACCCACTTTGAGACTAATAATGGCTGGAGACGGCTTAAATGGGTAATGAAGAAAAACTTTAATATAAGTTTAACATGACAGCAAATGTACAACGTTTCGACAAGGTTTTATCATCATCAGGTACTATATAGCCATTATACGTTGATAGTGTTCTAAACTTCAAGTAGTCACAAACATCCGATCGATCAAATGGGCAGGTTTGTTTATTGAATTTTGCGCAAAGCTAAAAGAGGGCTATATGCCTTAACGTAGAAAATCTCAAACATGTATGAATTTTTGCACAGTTTGACAAAATCGATCAATTTTTCATACAAAAATGGTGTTCCTGTTTGTTTAATTGAACGAATAATTGATGACTATCTAAACAAACAAAACTTTAGTAACCTAGCAACGTATGATCAAACATGACTTGGTAATCGATAATTTTTTAATGTAAAAATGGTTTCCTGTTTGTTTAATTGAACGAATAATTGATGACTATCTAAACAAACAAACAAAACTTTAGTAACCTAGCAACGGATGAACAAACCAAACTTTAGTAACCGAGCAACGTATGATCAAACATGACTTAGTAATCGATAAATTTTTCATATAAAAATGGTTTTCCTGTTTGTTTAATTGAACGAATAATTGATGACTATCTAAACAAACAAAACTTTAGAAAACCATCAACGTTCCAAGTTCCTAAGTGTTCAGTCTGTATGATCTTACGATATGTTGGTTATTATATTACTTTTATTTCAAAGGTTTCTACTTCTAAAACCAGGATGACGTCTTCAATATTGCTTCAAGTATATATATAGCATTTCTTTATTAAAAACGTCAAATGTAGTTTATTAAGCTGTTCGTTCATCTTCCAAGAAAAAGGTTACATCGGTTCTTCTACAATGAATCTATTGACGTCAATTAAAGAATGTGTAAATAACAGAACTCCCAACAAGTAAAGTATGTGGAGTAGTCGTACATTCAAATTACTTTAAAATATTAACAAGGTCTAATGGGGAACAAAACCCCCATATATGATAAAAGACATCATTCCTAAGCTAAGTCAGTTGAGCTTCTTAACTACTGCTTGTTTTAAGAGATATAGTTCGCTGTACCTACTGCTTTAACATACCGATATCAAATTTCGGCCATATAAATGTGACTTGTTTGCGATACCCGTAGTGGGCACAACATAGATAGTCCATCGTGTAGATTTGTGATTAACAACCAACAAATTAATTAACTACGGTCAAATATTGAAAGTGTTATTTCTAAGTAGAAGTGGGTTTACCTACAAAAATGCGAATACAGCACCCCTAGTGACAGTTTCACGGTTTGAAATCAAACAGGTTTCCGTTTCTTGGCAGGCGAGAGATAGGATATGACAAGTATTATTTACAGGCTTAACTGTCTGAGAAAACTTGCTGCACATAGGACTTATAGCACCAAAATAATTTCCTGCACCCTTAGAATATGTTATTAGATTAATTAAATTAACAACCCAAGTTGGCCAATGAGAAACGTTTTACCCCAAATAAACCATAACTAATAATTTACTTTTTTTTGTGAGTTTATAGTCTAATCTTCTACTAATCCAAGTGAAAATACTTGTTAATGCATCACATATGAATTATATAGGGACTTTCTACTTTCAAGTATCATAATCGTATAGCAATGATCACAAAAGTCGAGTTTTAATGGCGACGAACGTGGATTAAACTTACAGCAAAATTTATTAGAATCTTACGAGAGGAACGAAAAAAAAAAGGAGTATTTCGCAAACTCGAGCCATACTGATATAACAAAGATAGATCAAGATTTTCTTGTATCGAATAAAATCTTGCACTGCAGCTTTCACGTCCAACGACAGCGTACGACATATCGAGATGGAAGGAAAAACCGAAGCTATTTTCACGAGTTACGTATCAGGAACGTTGTCAATAACACCTGTTGGAAGTGAGAACGAATTCTTATATTTGATCCCATGTTTTGCTGTTTGTTTCAAGTACGAAAAAAAAGAGATTTCGTATATTTCTTCTACAACCACATATGTCAATCATCTAATATGATAATAGCGTTTAATTTCCCCCCTTCCCTTTTTCTTAGGATAAACTTTCAAGCTAGAATTCGAGGTTCGATACCTGTTGTGGTTTCGGTATTACTCCCGGATCATATTAGCAAGTAGTAAACAAGATTTACTGGTTTCAGTATTACTTCCGGATGATATCAACAAGTAGTAGTAAACAAGATTTATTGGTTTCAGTATTACTTCCGGATGATATCAACAAGTAGTAAACAAGATTTACGGGTTTCAGTATTACTTCTGGATGATATCAACAAGTAGTAGTAAACAAGATTTATTGGTTTCAGTATTACTTCCGGGTGATATCAATAAGTAGTAAACAAGATTTATTGGTTTCAGTATTACTTCTGGATGATATCAACAAGTAGTAGTAAACAAGATTTATTGGTTTCAGTATTACTTCCGGATGATATCAATAAGTAGTAAACAAGATTTACTGGTTTCAGGATTACTTTCGGATTAGTAATACAAGCCATCTCTATCAACATTGACGACGGCCTTGAAATGCAGGCATTGGCTGTTTGAAACATTCTCTGAAATTGAATGTCCGCTGTTTTTCAATATCAAAATCATTCATTTCTAAGTAGTTTTAATCTAAAGTTCTTCTAACAACCTCTGTCTCAGAGGAGGTTTTAAATCATCCTTCTAATATAGGCCTTCAACGACCTCGATTAGACCCTCTGTTACACAATGAGGCAAGATGTGCTGAAAAAACAAAAGATAAAAAAAACGTCACGTACATCTGAGACTCGGTGTACGATACAATAATGACTTACAACAAGAACTCTTTGAGTATTAGGTCTAAAAGTGTGGTTTCGATCCCTTTAGTGGGAAAAGCACACATAGCTCTCTGCTGAACAACAAACAAACAAACTTTAACTGAACATAGCAATTAGTTGGTTGCTGGCATTAAAAAGAAAAAGAAAAACAGCTTTAACACAAGAATTACACGACTCGTTAGCAAGAACCATGATAATTGAAAAATAATTCAGTAAAATTGTTTTAATTTAAAAAACAAAAAACGAATACAGTGAATCTAAACAGATTTATTACTGCCGCTAGATGGCGCTGTGTTAAGTATATTTTCAACATTCAGAAGTTAGACATTTCTGTATTGTTTTGTACTATGACGTATCTACCGGTAGCAGACATATCTCAAACAATGCCAAACAAGAATAAGCGGTAAAGCCTTCAGGCTGACTGCTAATAATCCAACGTTTAGCACTGTTTGAAATACTGGTACCATGACTTTTATAAACATTGATGAAATGAGACGAATTCCTTTCAATCTGTAAGAACAGAAAAAAAAATATAGAGATTTCAGTTAATCCTCGAGTGAAACTACAAACTATTTTGTGATCCTTTCTCTTCGCTCTAGGAATTTCAAAAACAACCAGTTGCGTCGAATTCCTCGTCAAGTTTTTGTAAACCTTTCTTCACTGTCTCACATGTAAGTCAAGTTCTTGTTTATTGTCTAAAACAAACTTTAAATCTTTAATTGAAATATCGGTTTAATTTTATTTTTCCATTCAATATTAATTCCCTAAATCTCAGTCAGCAGAGAAACTTATGTGTAAGAACTTATGTAACCCTAAAATTTATATGTGAGAAACGATCTAACCCTAAAACTTATATGTGAGAAACGATCTAACCTTAAAACGTATATGTGAGAAACGATCTAACCCTAAAGCTTATATGTGAGAAACGATCTAATCCTAAAACTTATATGTGAGAAACGATCTAACCCTAAAGCTTATATGTAAGAAACGATCTAACCCTAAAAGTTATATGTGAGAATCGATCTAACCCTAAAACTTATATGTGAGAAATGATCTAACACTAAAACTTATATGTGAGAAACGATCTAACCCTAAAACGTATATGTGAGAAACGATCTAACCCTAAAGCTTATATGTGAGAAACGATCTAACCCTAAAACTTATATGTGAGAAACGATCTAACCCTAAAGCTTATATGTAAGAAACGATCTAACCCTAAAACGTATATGTGAGAAACGATCTAACCCTAAAGCTTATATGTGAGAAATGATCTAACCCTAAAACTTATATGTGAGAAACGATCTAACCCTAAAAACTTATATCTAAGAACTTATCTCATTCTGAAATTTGTGTATGAGAAATGATCTAACTCTAAAAGTTATTAGTGAGAACTCATCTAACTCTAAAAAAAATTAATTCATCGTTGTTCTAAATTCGATGAAATAAATTAAAATGCCACAATTGGTCAATCTATTTTTCATGTTATGAATTACACATATTTACGAATGCAACAGTTATGTTACTTGTGATATCTAGAAGAGAGTGTAAAATCATCTCTCATGATATGGTTTTAAACAACTATAATTAGGCCTACATAGATATTTCATTATATTTTCCTACTTTGACTTGAATACCTCAGTATATTATACATTACAAAATATGAGGCAAAAGGGATTATACAGTTCTTATATTTATAAAATGATTTAATTTCTAATATCTTACTCCGAAACAAACAATAATTAAATTGGTTTCATTTGTTTTCGTAATAATTTTGAGCTTGTATCGAACAG